TTTTTTTTTTTGCTCTTTCTAACTTTCCTTTTTTTTTTCTGTCTATTCTTTTTCATCGTTTCTCTCAATTTTCTTTGAAAAAAATTGAGTAAGGTGACCACTGGTGAATTTAACTCTGCAAGTAATGATGTGAAATAATTTAATATTGTACTTCAAAAATAAATAATTCAATAAAATAAACTATTTGCATTAATGTATATAGACGTTTCGTATAAATTTTTAATCTTTCCATTAAAAGTAGTTGAAGTCAAATGAAAATCTATAAAAATTTTATATTGATATATGGCTAGCAATTTGTGATTTGATGGTTCGAAAGCAAAACAATTGGTTGTACAATGATAACAAATAGATGTAACTTCCCTTGTCACTATTTTCTCATTTAATTTACCGTAGAGAATGCTAAAATTTTACAATTATAGATGTTCTCTTATTGTTATTTTCTCAGTAACTCTACAGAGATCATCGGCACTAGCAACCAAGAAAATAATTTGCAATTTCGTTAAACTCATCAAAAGTAAAAGGTAGGACAAAAAGGAAAAATTGATAATGGCAAACACAGCATTTTCCACTGTTGGAAAGCTTGCAGAATACACAATCGATCCAGTTTTGCGTCAAATCAAGTACTTGTTCTTCTACAACAGTAACATTCAGAATTTGCGTGGTAAGGTTGTAGATCTTGAAAATAGGAGAAATGACCTGAAACTACAGGTTGATGCTGCCGAAAGAAATGCCGAAATCATTGGGGTAGAAGTTTTGGCGTGGTTGCAGAAAGTCAATGAATTAAAGGAAAAAGCAAACGAAGTTTTGAAAAGCGTAGCAAGTTCTGAAATGCGGTGTCTATTCAATAGATGTCCAAATTTGAAGTCTCGTTACTTATTAAGCAGGAAAGCCACAAAGATGACTATTGAGGCTGATAAGCTTAAAGTGGAAGGTACATTTGAGAGGTTGAGCTATCGTCCACCACTGCAGCTAGTGTTGAACCTAACTTCCCGTAAGGGTTTCGAAACAAGGTTATCAATTAAGAAGAAAATCAAGGAAGCTCTAGAGGACGAAGATATCGGCATAATTGGGATCTGTGGCATGCCTGGAGTTGGTAAGACAACAATGGCAAATGAAATAGTCAATGAAGTCAAAGTTGATAAATTATTTGAGGAGGTTGCATTTGCAGTAGTATTTAACAATCCCGACATAAACAAAATTCAAGATCAACTGGCTGAAGCGCTTGGTCTAACAATTGAAGAAAAGACAAATGAAAGCGTGAGAGCTGGACGACTTCGTCAAAGAATTGAAGGTAATAATGACAAGAGCATTCTTGTAGTATTGGACGATGTGTGGAATGAAATTGATTTTGGAACTATAGGAATTCCATTTCCACGTGATCGCAAAGGGTTAAAAATTATGTTTACGACGCGAATTAAAAAAACGTGTAGTAATGCCGAAAGGAAATTCGAAATCAAAATTTTGGATGAAAAAGAAGGATGGCAACTTTTCAAGGACACGACAGGGATTTCTGATGATGAAACTGATGTCGAACTCGTAAGCATCGCCGAAAAGGTTGCAAATGAATGTAGAGGTCTACCTCTTGCCCTAGTGGTTGTTGGTAAAGCACTAAAAAGAAACAAGGCTGCACATAAATGGAGAGATGCACTTCTACAGCTACAGTCTAGGGCTACTAATCTTGAAGGAATGGAGTATATCGTGTACAAGAGTATAAAATTAAGCTACAACTATTTGGTAAGTAATGAAGAGCGGGACTTGCTTTTGCTCTGTTCTCTATTCGCTGAAGATGAAAGTATTCCAATTGAAAATTTGGTTCGATATGCAAGGGGGCTAGAGTTGTTTCAAAATACTGAAACACTCTACCAAACTCGAGATCGAGCAAAGACGATTGCCGATAATCTAAAGGGTTATTATTTATTGCAACCGGGTAAGGCGGAAGACGAGGTGAAATTGCATGATGTTATCAGAGATTTTTGCTTAGAGATGGCATATGAAGACAAAGGTGGATATCTAGTTAATCATGCTGGTTTGAAAGAGTGGCCAGAACATGTTGCTAATGAATCGTGCAGTGCCATCTCAATTACATTTGATAAGCCGGGACATCTTCCCAGTGGATTGAAATATCATAACGCTAAGTTGTTACGGTTGATATGTCGCGAGTTAAATGAATGTATCATTTTTGAAGAATTTTTCAAAGATATGAAAGAACTCAGAGTTCTTGAATTGAAAAGGATGCACATTGAAATTTCATCATCAATCAAATTATTGACGGGTCTTCAAACTCTATGCTTGATTGACTGTAGAATACATTCTCAATTGCCAATGATTGGGAGTCTAAACAATTTGGAAATCCTCTCTTTCTACGAGTCTTCCATTGGTTATTCTCCCACTGTATTCACGAATCTTTACAACCTCAGGTCACTTGATTTGAGGTTTCATGAGTTTTCCCGTCCACTTCTGCTCGGTGTTTTGTCGGGTATGAAGATATTGGAAGAGCTGTACTTGGGACGTAACATTGGAATAGAAGGTGAAGATGCCAATATATTGAAGAATGTTGTGAGCGAGTTAGATGAAAATGGTTTCAATAACTTGAAGACATTGATTCTATCAGATGGATATTTCGAGTATCTTATTGATGCTACCAACACTATTCCAAATGGCACCTTTGATAAATTGGAGTCTCTCGAATTGATAGATTTACCCAAGTTAAGAGAGATATGCAATGGAAATCTTCGAAGGGTTGTCTACAAATCTCCATTGTTCTGTAACCTTGTGAAGATTAAGATGCATTTTTGTAAAGCAATTACAAGCTTGTTTCGGGAGTCAGTTGCAATATGCTTGGTAAATCTCCAAAGTCTAGACATATACAAATGTCCGATGTTAGAGGAAGTTGTTTCGACAGATGTACCAGAAAACGAAGTTCCCAAAACTTGTAAAATGCTTGAGTTTCCAAATCTAAAAGAAGTCAAGCTTGAATATTTGAGTAGATTGAAGAGCTTCACATCTCAATCAAATAACGGCGCTGTTCGTCAAGCATTGTTCAACCAGGTATGGTATTCAACTTTCCTTCTATGCGCATCCAAGAGTCCTTATTTGTTATAAAAAGTGTTTAGTTCATCTGTATGAAATCTGAAGAAAAAGATAAATTTCGAAAATCAGATATATTCAGAAGTGTGTTCCAAATGAACAAATCCTAAAAGTGGAGCTAAAATACTAGAATGGTCATTTAGTACAATCAATGAAATTTTATGATTACAAATATTATTAATCAGAGTGAGCCCTCTAATAAAACCTAAGCCCCTGTTTGGTATAGATAAAAATATACACCCATGTTTGATAGAAATTAAAATCAAAATTTTAGTAGATTTTGACAAAAACTAATAGAATATGTGGTTAAAAATTGTGGGTCTACAGAATATGTGATTAAAATTAATTCTTTACCTTGTCTTAAATTTTAATAAGACTTTTTAGTGGTATCAAACATGGCCATATTTCGAGTAAATTTTAATAAAATTAATGAAATATGTAGTCAATAAGTTGTGGAGTAACGCTATGTAGTCATACTGGGGTTACAACTCCAATTTAGTCAACACCACAAAGAATGTATCTCGCAATACAAATGAATATATAGATATAGTTTCTATAGAATGGCGCAACTTTCCGCAATTCATTTATATAGATAGCATAATGGATAAATTTTGGCTGACTGCAACTAATTGAACTTTGCAGGTCCACTTTCCTAACATGGAGGTGTTGAATGTTTATAACTTGGATTGTATAGCAAAGCTAGTAGGCAAGGAAAGGCCAATACCATCACTGCATAAACTAACGGCCATAAGTTTGTATGATTGTGTTGAATTGCTGGCCATTGAAGAATCTGATTCAATTCAGTTACTTGAAAATCTTGTTTATCTTAGTGTGAAGGGATGTAATGCACTTGAAGTATTGTTTGACTTTGAGGGTATAACGGTCACTAATGACGATGCAGAAAATAATATACTTGGTCGATTAACAAAATTGCGACTGGAGACACTACCAGAATTGGTGCACATTACAAGGATGGTTCCAAAAGGAATTTGTGTCTTCCAAAATTTGACAGATCTCAATGTTACAGATTGTAGGAGCTTAAAATGCTTATTTTCACCTTCTATAGTCAACTCACTTGCAGCTCTGGAAATTTTAGCAATTACTAGTTGTGAAGCATTGGAAGAAATCACTGGAAGAGAAGAAGACGAAGAAGTAGAAGAAACTAGGATGCAAACACTCCATCAAACCTCCATCACTTCAGACAAGTTGTTTCAACGGATCTAATACTACATGAGTTCCCAAAACTAAACAGACTCAGGCTCAACTATTTAAGCAGTTTTAAGAGCTTCATATCTGAATTGAACAATGATAGCATTCATCGAGCGTTGTTCAACCAGGTATGTACCTTTAATCAAAGTGAGCTGCTAACAAAAACTAAGCCCCTCCTAGGTTTAGCCCTTGTTTGACAGAGATTAAAAACAAATTTTCAGTAGATTTTAATAAAAGTTAATGAAATATGTGGTCGAAAATTGTGGGTTTTATGAAATATGTAAAATGAAAGGAGAAATTCAGTCAATTTAAATTTATTTCTATTGGGCTAGATTATTCAATCAACAGCACAATGAACGTGTCTTGTAATACAATTGAATAGAAGGATACAATTTCTATAGAATGACACAGCTTCCCGCAATTCATTTACACATATAGCATAATGGATAAATTGTGGCTGACTACAACTAATTGAATTTTGCAGGTTACGTTTCCTAACATGGAGGAGTTGTTTGTTTGTGGCTTGGATTGTATTGTAAAGCTATTGGGCAAGGAAATGCCAATAACATCCCTGCATAAACTAACAGAACTGCGGGTGCGGGATTGTGCAAAATTGCTGACCATTGCAGATTGTGATTCAATTCAGTTACTTGAAAATCTTGTTTATCTTAGTGTGAAGGGATGTAATGCACTTAAAGTATTCTTTGACTTTGAGGGTATAAAGGTCACTAATTATGATGCAGAAATTAATATGCTTGGTCGATTAACAAAATTGCGGCTGGAGACACTACCACAATTGGTGCACATTACAATGATGGTTCCAAAAGGAATTTGGGTCCTCCAAAATTTGAGAGAGCTTGATGTTGAAGATTGTAAGAGCTTAAAATGCTTATTCTCACCTTCAATGGCCACTTCTCTTGCGGCTCTGGACATTCTAAAAGTTTCAAATTGTGCATCAATTGAAGAGATTATTGGAAAAGAAGAAGAAGGCACTTCAAACATTAAAATAGTTGAAGGAATGGAAACTAGAATTGTGTTCCCCAATATGAAACATCTACTGCTCAAGAATCTTCCAAGTATTCAAATGTTTTGCTCTCAGAATTATGAACTTTCATTCCCTTCAATGGAGAACTTAACCGTTGAACAGTGCCCTAATATGACGAAATTCAGTCCACGACCACTAAGTGCACCAAAGCTTAGTAAAGATACAAGAGCGTGTTACAAATTTCTTGATATTTCCAATTTGTTGGATGAGTCAGGTATGCGTTCTCCATTCCTATTTTATAATTTCTACTTTAATACTATAGTTGCTTTTAGATAATTTATTTATTAATAATTTTTCATTTCTCAGGCGGGTCACCAGAGGAGGAACAAGAAATTTGTAACAAATAATACTCAACGTGATTACTTTTAGTTTCTTATTTCCTAGGTATAAATTCTGATGAAATCCTTTCTTATCCATAGATTATCTATTTGAATTCTACGTATTGACTCATTTAATCACTGATTAAATATTTAGAACTCGTGTAATAAGTATTCTTACTCTTATTTGAAATCTCGCAATATATTATGATTGAATTAAATTCAAACTTTTAGCTATTTTTTTTTTT